TTATTGTTTTTACTCTTGATAAAAAGTGTAGTGTCAACCTTTCCCCTTTGGAAACCACTATCCAAAAGAAATTTACTCAAACGTTCGTACCAAGCACGGGGTGCTTGTTTAAGACCGTAGAGCGCTTTCTTGAGTTTGAAGACATGGTCGGGAAACTCAAAGTCTTCAAACCCCGGGGGCTGGTCAACATACACTTCCTCTTGAATAAAACCATTGAGGAAGGCACTCTTAACATCCATTTGATAAAGTTTAAAATCCATAGACGAAGCAAAAGCAAGAAGTAAACGAATAGCTTCTAAACGTGCTACGGGTGCATAGGTTTCCTCAAAATCAATGCCTTCTTCTTGATTGTAGCCTTTAGCTACGAGCCTAGCTTTGTTTCTAGTGATTATTCCATTTTCATCAAGTTTGTTACGGAACACCCATTTCGTACCAATAATCGTACGATCATTGGGCCTTTCAACCAATTCCCAAACGTCATTCTGTTTGAATTGGTTTAGCTCCTCTTGCATAGCCAAGGTCCAATGTTCATCGTTTATTGCTTCGGAAATGGTTGTAGGTTCAATTTGAGAAACAAAAGCCATGTGACCTACGGTGTCCCTAAGAGAATTACGAGTACTTACCCCGCGGTTGGTGCTGCCGATTACCTGGTCAAGTGGATGGTTCTTGTGCGTTCTCCAAGCGATGGGAAGCTCGGTTTTCTCTTGTTCCTGGGCTTCCTCGTGTTCTTCTTCGTCCGCTTGATCCTCATTTTCGACCATCACTTGAGGTGTTTCCTCAGGTTGTGGTTGCGGGTTGGTGTATAATGGCGTGTCTTCCTCATCGTCTTCAATGTGCATTCTTTCAAGTGAGTCTGCAAGATCATCACAAAAAGCCTTTCTCGCCAAGCGAGTATTATCTTCGGAAAACACAACATGAGGGGACTCCTCAATAGTCAAAGTACGTTTATTAAACACTATATATGCCTTGCTACAAAGTGAGTAACCGAGAAAAATCCCTTCGTCCGACTTGGCATCAAATTTTCCCAAGTTATCTTTGCCGTTATTATGAATAAAACATTTTCAACCAAAGACTCGAAGATGGGAAAGGTTTGGCTTTCTCCCTTTGTATAGTTCATAGGGCGTTTTCATGAGTATCGGTCGAATGACGGCTCGGTTTAACACGTAGCTCGCGGTACTCACGGCATCCGCCCAAAAATACTTAGGGATTTTTGCCTCATTGATCATAGTTCTAGCCATCTCTTCGAGACATCTATTTTTA